TGGGAGAGACCGCTGCCTGAACGTGCTGGAGAGATGCTGCCAGTCAGTGCAGACAATATTGTGGCGCTCAGGGCCTGCTTGTGGGCTTGCCGCAGGCATGTGGTCGGCCACTGTGAGAACAGTATGCTGGACTAACTAGATAGGTCACTCGCTTGATTCAGTATTATGCTTGTATTTCTCAGGGCCACACTTAACAGGGGCCCAAACCTGCCACAACACACTCTTTGCCCAACAGTAGAGCCGGCTACCTCTGGCAGCGGGTGGCAGGGAGACTCCTGCCGTTGGAAGGAAACACAAAGGGATAGCTCAGTCAGTGGAGCACGAGACTCTTTAATTTCAGGGTTGTGGGTTCGAGATTCCGCCATTGCAAGGGGTTGGGCTAGATGACCCTCTGCAGTTCTACGAGTCTTTCTCAGGCGTAGGCAAACTCCGGCCCTCCAGATGTTTGGGACCACAACTCCCATCATCCCTAGCTAACAGGACCAGTGGTCAGGGATGATGGGAATTGTAGTCCCAAACATCTGGAGGGCCAGAGTTTGTCCATGCCTGGTCTTTCTCATCTTCCCTCGGCTACCAGATGTCTGGGGATCCCAGCCTCTGCCCCGGGCCCCCCTCCAGCAGTCAGATGACAACACAAAGAAGTTTATTCTGGCTCGCTCTCTTCCTCCTCCTCCACCTCCCACCCTCTGTTTTCCTTTAAATCTTTCGGTTTCTCTGAAGACTCGAGAATCACGCTGCGGGTTGTGGGTGGGCTAAGTGGGTGGGGGGGAGGTTGGGAAGCGTCAGGGAGGAAGCCGTCACTTCCCCCGTCATGCGCAGCCGTCTAGGAACATGAAAGGCCACAGAATGGCTCATATCACAGCCACAGCCGCACAGGCGGGTAATTTTAGATTCCGGGCTTCGTGGTCTCCCAGGCGGGGAACGGGTTGCTCTTCAGATCAGGGAGGGGAATCTGTTTCAACCCCAAGGGCCACATTCCCCTCTGGGCAAGCTTCTGGGGGCCGCCTGGCTACGGGATCTGGCCTTTAAGCTTTGCACGAGAGCTGTAAGGAAGCGCAGCTGCTCCCATTGCAGATCTCTGGCCCTTCCCCTAAAGCGGAAGTAAGATTCTCGTCCTCATGGGCCCATATTAAAGATCTGGCTATAATAGGAAGCTGCCTTAGGAAGGCTGCACTTAGTATTTGTCTACAGTTCAGGGGAATAAAGGGCTAAGGGGTAAACCCTACAAAAGTGGAGTCCCTAAGACAGTTGGGTAGCAACTTCCAGCACCTCCTGCAGCCAAGCTGGTGCCAAACGTCTTGCTCTGGTTTCCTTTGGACCCCTGAGATCAGGGGCTGGTGGTCTTGTCATCTGGGCAGCACCTCCATCCAAACTGCCCAGGATTGAGCCCCGGGGAGGTCACTTCCATAAAGCCATGAGCCATGGTGGAGCTTCCAACTCCAGGGGCAGTCTATCTCCAAATGCCAGACATTGAGGAACAATTGACAGGAGAGGGCTGTTGCCTTCTGGCCCTGCTTGGGAGCTGCAAGAGGCACCTCCATTTTGCTCTGATTTTAACTCTTTGCTTGCACTCATGCCTGAGCATTGTTTTTTTAAAAGTGCTATTTTATTGCAAAGCGATAAACCAGGGCTTAGGAAACCTGTGCGCCACCCTCCCCTCCCAAAATAAAGTTGTCGTGGGAACTGTAGTTCACCCTTCACAGTGCTAAGATTCCCAGCACCATCAACAAACTATGGGTCCCAGGATTCTTCGTGAGCTTTAAATGTATGGGGTGCACCGAGCTGTATTGTTAAAAGCAGGCATGGGGAAGCTTTGGCCCTCTGGATGGTGCTGGACTACAACTCCCATCAGCTCTGGCCAGCATTGGTCAGTGGTCAGGGATCATGGGATTTGGAGTCCAACAACACTTGAGGGTGCCAGTGCGGGTTCCCCATCCGTGTGTGTGTGTGTGTTTTAAGCTAACCTATAGGTGGGTTAAACCACAGAGCCTAGGACTTGCCGATCAGAAGGTCGGCGGTTCGAATCCCCACGACGGGGTGAGCTCCTGTTGCTCGGTCCCTGCTCCTGCCAACCTAGCAGTTCGAAAGCATGAAGTGCAAGTAGATAAATAGGTACCGCTCTGGCGGGAAGGTAAACGGTGTTTCCGTGCACTGCTCTGGTTCGCTAGAAGCGGCTTAGTCATGCTGGCCACATGACCCGGAGGCTGTACACTGGCTCCCTCGGCCAATAAAGCGAGATGAGTGCCACAACCCCAGAGTCGGTCACGACTGGACCTAATGGTCAGGGGTCCCTTTACCTTTACTCTGGCAAGCAGATGGCCCATTGCATCTCCTCTGGGTCAAAGCCAAACCTGTTGGGCTCCTACCTGCCTGGCAACTGTATGGGCATAGGAGCCAGGCCAGGAAAGAGGGAGCGGCAACCATCCTTTTGGGGGAAGGTCTATAGCTCAGTGGATCTGCTCTGTGTGCGAAAGGTCCCAGGTTCAATCCCTAGCACCTCCAGGTAGGGAGGGCTGGTAGGTAGAACCCCTGGAGAGCTGCTGCCAGTCTGTGTAGACAATACTGAGCTATATGACTACAAAGACTCTGGATAAGGCAGCTTCCTGTGTTCCTATACAGTACATGGGCCCTGAAAAATATTTAGGAAACGTTTGATGCAGCTGGGGACACACTGCCCCCTGCTGGCAGTCACAGAGACGCCACTTTGAGTACACTGATTTCAAAGAATGGGAGGTTCCCCGGGAAGATGTGGGGGTCTCAGAAACCCACCTCCCTCTCTCTTGGCGCCCAGCCTGCTGACTTCCTTCCTGTTTCCATATGGGCTGGATCGGAATGCATTTGCTGCATTGCAGCGGGGGGGGGGGGGTAGAATTCATTTTGCACATGCTCAGAGAAGCCCTCTCAAGCACATCGCTGCAAAAGTGGCGCTTTTACTTCCTTCCTTTGTGCCGCTCTGCACGCGCTCAGAAGTACTCTTGTCGCAAGCATCCATTCCCTGGGAAATGTATACCCTGCCTTCCAGCTTTGCTGAGGGAAGCAGCTCCGGGGGGGGGGATATATTGACAAAGAGACCCTCCAAAGGCCAGAAAGGTGTGGTCAACTTGGTAGTAATGACCACGAGCTCCTGGGCAGAGAATGTACTCGGGGTCACTTAACCTTATGTCTGCCCACCTGACCTCCTAATTTGCACCTGGATGCAATTGGTCAAATTCAGGGTTCCAGGTTGTTGTTTTTTGTTGAGACATTGGGGGGGGAAGGGGGTAGAGGGGGGAAGATGGGTGGGGGTGGGGTCGGGTGGCGATGTTTCTATTTTGCTTAATGTATGTAGGGTTTGGTGTCAGCGTTGCTCGGGCTGTTCATTTGTGTTCCTTTGGTGGTGAGAGAGGTTGGGGTTGGCTTAGGGTGTGGTGGTTTGTTTGTGATTGGCTGTGGTGATCTTTGTTTTCGTGTGTGGGTGGGTGTTTTGGATCAGCTTAGCCATATTGATTTGTACGCTGTTGGTGGATTATTGTCATTGTCTTGTTGGGCTGTGTACGTGATAAAGGGGAGCCATACCGGGGTAAAGGCGTCTTCTGTTTGTCCCCGTGTCAGTTTCAGTTTATTGGTTAATTTTTCTAGTAGGGCTGTTTCCCATACTATTTAGTACCATTGGTCCATACTTACTCCTGACAGGTCTCCAGTGTCTGGTTATGGTGTTTCTGGCTGCTGAAAGTAGGTGGGTTATGAGTTCTTTGTGGTGTAAGTGGGCATCGTTGTCTTGGAAGATGTTTAGTAGGGCCAATTCTGGGGTGATGTCTAATACTTGCTTAGTTATTTTACATATTTCTCGTATGGCTGTTGTCCAGAATAGTTGGGATTTTGGGGCACTTCCACCACATGTGGAGGTATGTGCCTGTGGAGGTGCACCCTCTCATTCAGGGTTCCAGTTGAAGCTCTGTAGCTCAGTGGCAGAGCTTCTGCCTCACATGCAGAAGGTCCCAGGTTCGATCCCCAACATCTCCAGAAATCGTGCCTGGAGCCTGGGAGAACCCCTGCCAGTCAGTGTAGAAACTATGGAGCTAGATGGACCCAATGGTCTGGCTTGGTATAAGTCAGCTTCCTATGATCTTCTTTAAACCAGCTGTACATTTTGAATGATGAGGACTAGAATCTTGCAAGCAGAGGCATCTCCAGATAGAGCTTAGAGAGGCTTCTGCCTGTCTGTGTTGACAATACTGAGCTAGATGAACCCCATGACCTTGCTCAGTATTAGGCACCTTCCTATGTCCCTATAGAACACTCGTTCTGCACTGCTAAGAAATCAAAACTTCTATAGTGAGGATTCACTGGCACTTTGGAACTCCCTGCCGATTGACACTGATTGCACCTTCGCTGCACTCTTTCCAGCGCCTGCTAAAAACCTGCGGTTAGGAAAGCCCGCCTAGATTTGTAGAAGGTTAATCTGGTTTCATGGGACACGGGTGGCGCTGTGGGTTAAACCACAGAGCCTAGGACTTGCCGATCAGAAGGTCTGTGGTTCGAATCCCCGTGACGGGGTGAGCTCCCGTTGCTCGGTCCCTGTTCCTGCCAACCTAGCAGTTCGAAAGCACACCAGTGCAAGTAGATAAATAGGTACCGCTCCAGCGGGAAGGTAAACGGCATTTCCGTGCGCTGCTCTGGTTCACCAGAAGCGGCTTAGTCATGCTGGCCACATGACCCGGAAGCTGTACGCCGGCTCCCTCGGCCAATAAAGTGAGATGAGCGCGTAACCCCAGAGTCGCCCACAACTGGACCTAATGGTCAGGGGTCCCTTTACCTTTACCTTTTAATCTGGTTTTCCGTTTATCGTTGGTTTTAATTATTCCTTTGAACGTTGTAAAGAGCTGCTCTTGGTAGATAGCTCCGTTATTGAGAGTGTGGTGCTGATGATGCCAAGGTTGCAGGTTCGATCCCTGTATGGGACAGCTGCACTGCATGGACTTGGACCCCCCCCCAACTCTATGATTCTGAAACAGTCTGCATTGATCATGTTATTTGCTTTATTCTTGTTGTAAACCTCTTCCGAGGGTTGCTGGTTTCCGTTTACAATCGAGTGGTATAAAATTTTATGAAATGACAATGAAATAAATAAACTGGGTATAAAATTGCTCGGCCCGTAACACCTACAAAAGGTATTGTCAGGCTCCTACTTTTGTTATAGTACAACTTCCTCCAGCTCCCACAACCACCATCCATTCCCAGCCCCTTCTTCTGCCCCGGCAAACCTCCCATCTATTCATCTTCTCTTCTCTCCTTAGACCCTCTCCTCAAGACCCACTTTCCCATCCTCACAAACACCCCTTCCTCCTCCTTTCTCATTTCAGGATCCCCTCTGAACCCTCTCTCTCTGCTCAAAGAGAGATGGGGGTCACACCTGGTCCCCCCCTGCACAAATATCAAGTTATGTGTTCTATGCAGCGCACTAGAAATAAATGTGGCGCACTAATAGCAAAAGAGAAAAGGAGGCAAAAATAAAGAAATGTCTCAGCCGAAGCTGGGCTCTTACTTAAGAGATCAAAAAGGGTCAGGACATGAGCAAGATTTCCTTCGCTATTGCTTTCCAACTTGCTGTCCTCCCAGCTTCTTTCCACAACAACTCTTGATGCGTCAGACCAAACGGTTTTATCTCAGCCTGGGGTCCTGTCCTCAAAAGGGAGCCCACCAGAGGTTTGCAACGGGTAGGGCATCTCCCCTGCATGCAAAAGGTCCCGGGTTCAAATGCTGGCATTTTCAAATTGGCTGCAAATGACCGCCTGTCTGAGACCCTGGAGTGCTGCTGCCATTGGTATACTGATAATATTGAGATAGACGGGTCAAGGGCTGGACTCACTTTAAGGCAGCTTCTATTGTTCCTCTTTAATTCACCAGTTTATTCAGAATCATGAGGACTAGAATCTTAGGGTTTTGTTTTGTTACATAAAGGACCTTAGCTCTGTGGCAGAGCATCTGCTTTGCATTCAGACAGGTCCCAGGTTTGCTCCTGGTTATCTCCAGGTCGCAGGAGAATCCTGCCAGAAACCCCGGAGAGATGCTGCCGGTCAGTGTAAATACTACCAGGCTAGATGGACCAATGGATTGATTTGGTATAAATCGGCTACCCGTGTCCTACAAGCGAGGTGGGAAGCTGTGGGTTGTTTCCCTTGCTACCGATCCACAGCACGTGATATTCCGAGGTAGACTGCGTCTGGAACTGGAGGTTCCATTTACCCACCACATTTAAGAGACGTCGATGGGCCAGTCCTCCTCCAGGAATCTCTCCAGTTCCGTTTTCTAAGGCCGTCTAAGCCAGCGGAACGTTCCCTACAGTGGATGCTGTAAACGGACAGCAAAAAACACACCTATTGCTTCTCCAACCTGCACTTTACTGCTGTTCAGCTTCATGGGGTGAAGCTTTTACAAACCTGAATGGTGTCATTTCTGCCCCAGCAGACTGCTTTGAGTGGCTGCCTTCCATCCCCAAAGCAGCAGCTGCGTTTACACGACAAATCCAGTTTGAAACCAGTTTCGCTTAAAAAACAAACCAAAAAACCCCTCCCTGAGAACTGTAGTTTTTTTTTCATAGGGGAATCGGATGCTGAAACTTTAAAACTGCAGCCGCACTAGCAGAAGTGCTAAAATTCCCAGGGAGGAAGCTACCGAACTTGCTGAACTGGTTTGTGAACTACAAAAAACAAAAATTCTGCTGTCAACCTGAGTTTGTTGGGCCCTGCACTAATTCTGCCTTGCGACTATCTCTAAGTTGCTCGCCCTCAGGCTACCTTCCCGACTTATATATATGACACTACCTTCTCAACCCGTATATTTATAAGGAAACAGATAACTTACAAAAGCCACCCGACTCTCGCAGAATCCTCTCTCTCCCCGCGCGAGGAAGCTGGGAAATAATACGTAGATCTTTCCCGGACGCCCCCAAGGCTCAGAGAGGGGGTTCCCCCCTCACCACCCGCAAAACCAGCCCCCTTTCCTGGCTCCTTGCCCCCCTCTTCATCTAGGTATACTCAGCAGAACTTCCAACCAACATGGGCAAGAGGTGATAAACCGCCGAGAGTAGCACTGGCCCCAGCCTTTGCCGAAGCTGATCCGGACGCTGTGGGCATCGTAGGGCCCGTCGTGGTGGCCCTGCCAGCAGGCCAGGTTGCCGGCGCGGTCGTAGTCAAAGACCTTGAGGGAGTAGCCGGGAAGCAGCTTGTGAACAGCCGGCCCGGAGCCGCCGGGAGGACCCAGGGTTGGGGAGCAGACGAAGACGGGGTGGTCGCTGCGGTTGTAAGCCCAGACGCCGCTGCCTTCGCGGCTCAGGAGCAAGCCTTGCCCGATCTTGGCCCGGGCTCGCTGGACGGCTTGGCTACGGTTCCTGGAGCCCAGCTGGCCCAGGCAGAAACCGCTGCCAGCCGGGAGGTCGGCGAAGATGTTGACGTGGTCGTCGTGGACGGAGAAGAGCCTCCCGACTCGAAGGCGGTGTTCCCAGTAAGCCAGTTTGCACCAGTGGCCGTCTCTGAGGGAGCGCTGGGAGAGGCTGGTGTCTGCGGAGGGGGGGGGGAGAGAAAGGCATTCCCTTCAGAACTTTTTAGTTTTATTATTAAATAGTTTCATTGGTTTTTACAAAACAAATCTCACATTTAACACGTTGAAATTTCGAAATCAAACAAGGCTCTTCCGAATCTTAGGACTCCCCTCCGTGGGTCCTTAGTAGTATATCTAAATCAGCTGCATATTATAATTCCTCCACATTAAAGTCCTCCAAGAACTTAAAAAAAAATTATCAGTTTGTTAATTAACGAAAAGCGCAAAGATAACAAAAAGAAGAACTTAGTGCAGATACTCCAGCTACATATTCAATTTGGGTTGCCGTATTTTTAAAAAATGGAAACTTGGACATAAAAGTTTTTGCAAAATCTCCAAAGAAGAAGAAGAACGCCAAAATTGACACTTCTGACATGGGTTGCCATACGTCCGGATTTTCCCGAACATTTAAGCAATTTCCGCCCAGACGCTGTTTACGAGGGCCGTATCCTAGCTACGTCTGGGGAATTCCGGACGTATGGCAGCCCAAACATATTCCTATATTGCAGGGGTTGGGCTAGATGTCTCTCAGGGTCCCTTCCCACTCTCTAAAAAAATAATAATAATAGTGGTGTAATTGACTTCTGACAAGCACACAGAGCGCGAACAAGTCTAAGTGTATGTGGGGGGGGGATTGTTTAATTTCACTGCACACAGGTGGTGTAGTGACAATAAAGGTTTATTATTATTATTATTTATTTATGATTCTGTGACTCGTAAATTTAAATTATAAAGCGCCGCAGCCTGGAAGGACGAAAGTACAAAGATAAAAGTGCGGCTGAAAAGGTATCACAAAGCATTAACGCACACGAATAACAAAGATTTATAAAAAATGAAAGTATTCTCTAACTGTGAGTTCCATCATTATTGAGAATCAAGGTTCCAGCAAAGGTTTAAATAAGCTAAACATCTGCATAGACTGATGGAACTGAGTGAGCGAGCAGGCGCCTCAATTGGCGTAGTGGTTTGAGTGGTTTGAGTGTTGGACTCGGACAGGGGTTGGCAAACTACGGCCCCCGGGCAGGATCAGGCCCACCTGGGTCCTAAATTTAGCCCGCACCGCGAAGCCGAGACTTCGGGCAATAGCGATGGGAGGAAGAGGCTGAACGGCGGCAGCTCTGCTAGCCAAACACTGTGCCTGGTTTACGTCAGTGATGTTTGATTGGCAGAGACGTCCCTGCGCCGCGCTGAGGTAAACCAGGCGCGGCGTTTGATTGGCAGAGCCGCTGCCACTCGGCTCTTCCGCCTGCCCCTGCCACCACCCTGGTGCTCCTGTGGGCCAGAATGCGCAGTGGTGGTGGTGGCGGCGGCAGCCCCTGGGAAGATAAGGACTACTTGCCCCCCTCGCAGTGTGCATGTTGTTGTTTAGTCGTGTCCGACTCTTCGTGACCCCATGGACCAGAGCATGCCAGGCACTCCTGTCTTCCACTGCCTCCCGCAGTTTGGTCAAACTCATGCTGGTAGCTTCGAGAACACTGTCCAGCCATCTCGTCCCCTGTCGTTCCCTTCTCCTTGTGCCCTCCATCTTTCTCAACATCAGGGTCTTTTCCAGGGAGTCTTCTCTTCTCATGAGGTGGCCAAAGTATTGGAGCCTCAGCTTCAGGATCTGTCCTTCTAGTGAGCACTCAGGGCAGATTTCCTTCAGAATGGATAGGTTTGATCTTCTTGCAGTCCATGGGACTCTCAAGAGTCTCCTCCCGCACCAGAATTCAAAAGCATCCATTCTTCAGCGATCAGCCTTCTTTATGGTCCAGCTCTCACTTCCATACATCACTACTGGGAAAACCATAGCTTTAACTATACGGACCTTTGTTGGCAAGGTGATGTCTCTGCTTTTTAAGATGCTGTCTAGGTTTGTCATTGCTTTTCTCCGCAGTGTGCATAGGAATTCGTGTTGTTGTTTTTTAAATCCGGCCCTCTACAAGGTGTGAGGGACAGTGGACCGGCCCCCTGCGGAAAAAGTTTGCTGACCCCTGGACTAGGACCTGGAAGTGCAGGGTTCAAATCCCCACTCAGCCCTGAAGTTCATCTTGGTTCAGTCACCATCTCTTAACCTAACCTACCTCACAGGGTCGTTGTGAGGAGCAAAACCCCATAGACCACTTTGAGCTCCTTGGAAGATACAATTGGTATATAAATGCAATAAACAAATAAAAATATTTGCACAAGAAATAAGATCATATATATGAATGAGTCATTCGAGCTCTGCCTTTTAGATACTTTTCGTTTAGGAGATAATCTTTTTTAAGGAAGGGCAATTTGCCAAACCCTTAAATGCCAGCAATCCAGATGATTAAGATTAAAAGTCTTCCAGGATATTAGCCACGGAGCCCCTGGGCTGCTGTTAAGAGATGAGAAATAAGCTCTTTCCTTTCCAAATCCCGTTCCGTTCCCACATACAGCCTCAAAAAAAGCTAGGCGGAAACATGGAAAGATTTTGTTTGTTAACAGAGAGATCTCAGCAAAACGCCTTATTCCAAAATTCATTTGAGAACTTTTAAGGAGAGCCCTGCAGGAGCAGACCACAAAGTTAAGGTGGGCATTTGTATGCCACAAAAAAACCAAAAACGAGGCAGAGATTTTCATGTGTACAGATATGTACAGATGCAAAGGTATAGATAATGATGCTGATTTAAAGTGAATTGTATTGTCCTGGAGGAGTCTTTGAAGGGGAAAAGGCTGGGTGGCTCAGCGGTAGAACATCCAGTTTACGAGTGGAAGGTCCTGGGTTCGATTCCTGGCATCTGCAGGTAGGGCTGCGAATGTCCCCTGCCCAAAACTCTTGGAGAAGTCATTGCTGGTCAGTGCAGACCAGTGATTCTCAAAGGGTGTAGCAGGAGAGGATGGCAAATAGGAAGGGGACATTCAAGGACCACCAATATTATATTCTGGGAATGAGTCATGTTCTGCATTGTTTCATACTTTCCACATGTGCCGTGGTCAGATTATAATGTAGTTGTGTTCTTTGTTAAAAAATCAAGCACCGCTAGGAGTTGTATATTTTTGTTTTCCAATGCATTTCTTATCAATGAAAAAATCCGGTGTGATGCGAGCAATTTTTATTCTGAAAGTGCGGCCCAAAGAAAAAAAGCTTGAGAACCAACTGGTGTTGCCATAAAACTGAAAATCCAGACACAAAAGTTGTTGAGGTTTTTTTTTCAGTTTTGCCCAAAGTGGTTGAGCTCCCCCCCCCTCAAAAAAAGAAGTTGTTTTTGAGCTATTTTTAAGGAATTTGCCAAAATCTACACTTCCGAGAACTAGATAGAGGGCCTTCTCGGTAGTGGCGCCCACCCTGTGGAATGCCCTCCCACCAGATGTCAAAGAGATAAACAACTACCTGACATTCAGAAGACATCTTAAGGCAGCCCTGTTCAGGGAAGTTTTTAATGTGTGACATTTTAGTGTATTTTTGGTCTCTGTGGAAGCCGCCCAGAGTGGCTGAGGAGATATACTCAAATAAATTATTATTATTATTATTATTATTATTATTATTATTATTATTATTATTATTATTACTATTCCAAGATGGGTTGCCATACGTCCAGATTTTCACGGCATTTAAGCCATTTCCACCTGGGCGCTGTTTACAATGGCCGAATCCTGGCTATGTCCAGGAAACCCTAGCAGACGGTACTGAGCTCGATGTGTAAGGCAGCTTCCTATTTAAATCGGCTATTTATCTGGATCCATGAGGACTAGAATCTTCTAAGATAAAGTAATAAGTAGAGCTAGTGACCTTCTGCATCCATAGCAGACATCCTACCACTGAGTTATGGCCCTTTGGCCCCATTGCGGCAAGGCACAGCTCCCAAAGGCAAAAAATAAGATATATATATTTTTAAAAAAACTAGGGACTGATAGAATTAAACAAATAAGGAATGGACTGTTCCTCCTGGTCAAGGAGGCTCCTGGGTTTCTGCTCAGACAAAGGCGCCCTGGGACAATGGGAGCGGGAAGTCCCACGGGGGCCGGCTGGGAGCGCTGAGAGGCGGCACGTAGGCCCCACGGTCTCTCGCTGGGGTCCCACATCTTTGGCTGGGACAGAGGAAAAGCCAGCCCAGGCGCCGAGAGCTTGCTCAGACGTGGCGGCGTGGCCGGGCGCCAGATCCCAGGCTGCATTGTACGTCAGGGCACATTGTCTGTGTCTCTGCGGGCTGCAACTTCCTCCCGGCCGCCGGGAACCAGAAATAACAGGGGCAGCCGTCTGTCAGTGTCCGTCCCTCGCTTTTTGAAAAGTTTCTGCTCTGCAAAGCCTCCAGGAAGGCCTCTGGACCGGGCAGTTCCCTGCCTGCTTTTCATGCTCCTCTCAAGAGGGCAGCAAAATCGGCGTGCCCGGGATCAGGACCTCTAACTGCAGGAGGGTTTTCAAACAGGGTTGGGGGGCACTATTCAGGGTGGTGCTGAAGAGAGGCAGGTTTCAGTCCGCACGCGGCCAAAAATAAGAAGTGCACTGCTAAATCAGAGCAAAGTCCCGTCTAGCTCAGTCTCTCACAGATGGGGCATAAAGTCAAGGACCTAAATATATTAATTTTGAGTATTTGTACCCCACTCTTCATCCAAAAAGGATGGAGCGACTTACTTACAATCAAAGCAAGACAGTCCCTAGCTGCAGGCTTGCAATCTTTAAAAACAAAAAAAGGCACAACACACAAGGAAACCGGGACAGGGAGGGCAGAGGAAAACCCAAGCTCAGGCACAGATTTTCAAAACTGTTGCCCTATATTGACCAAACGTGGGCACAGTTCAGGGGCAGCTGGTGCCTGGTGGTGCTGGGCCTCCAGCAAAGCTGATAGAATAAACCTTCTGCTTCGCAACTCTCTCTTCTGAGGCAGCCTGATGCCCCGAGGTGACAGGAGAACATACCCTCCAACTGTCCTGACGAAAACGGGACATTCTGATTTTTCTTGTGAGAGGCGGCCAAAACGGCCGCCGCGATCTCGCGTTATTTGGGGCTGCAGTTTGGGGGGGGGCACGGCAACCCAAAGCGCGTGTTTAGAGGTGCTGCGCAAGTTCGCTGCCCCCCAAAGCCCTTTTGGGGTGCTGTGTCCAAAAAAAGCCCTTTTGCAATCTTGCACGGGTCACGAGACTTGTGCAATAGTGCAGCCCCAGAAGACGATGTCCTGGTTTCGGGCCTCTTCATATTGGAAGAGATGGGTGCAGGGAGGCTGTATGGGGCTGGCTTGTCAGGGCAGAGCAGATGGGGGGGGGAGCTCTGCTTCCCTGTTCCACTATTCTGGAATGCCCCCCCCTGGAAGAGATGCCTGGAATTGAAGCTGGAATCTACCAGATGCAAAAGCAGATGTTCTACTCCTTTGAGGAGTCTCAGCAACCTGGGAGTAACCGGCCCACAAACCAGATCAGAAGCTGGTTCCAATCCCTGCTGGGAAAATTTATTCCCTTGCTGACAGCCTGGACACAGAATCAGCCATGCGCAGGATCAGACCCTCTGTCACACCGAGGCTCCCGATTTCTCACCTTGCCATATTCTGCGGTTGTTGTTCAACGTGTTGGCGCACTTCAGAGGGGTTGCGAAAGGAGAGATCTTGCCGTAGGGGGGCAGGGGAGTCTCTATAAAAGAAAATAATAATAATAAGGGGAGGCATGAGCCACTTTTAAATCCTTTGTCTCATATCTTGAGGATTAGGGGGGCCCGCTGTGCTGCCATAAAATAAGTCCAGCATCCTATAAGCCCCAGCCAGATTGGATAACGGACAGGGATGGCGGGAGCTGAATACAGAAGAGCATAAGAACATATCGAGAGCCAGTGTGGTGTAATGGTTAGAGGACCTGGGAGAGCAGGGTTCAAATCCCCACTCAGCCATGAAGCTCACTGGTTGTGACCCTGGCATAGCTGTCAACGTTTCCCTTTATTTAAAGGAAATTCCCTTATTCCAAATAGGATTCCTCGCAAGAAAAGGGACAAGTTGACAGCTATGGACCCTGGGCCATTCACCATCTTTTAGCCTAATCTACCTCACAGGGTTGTTGTGAGGATGAAATGGGGAAGAGGAGAAACTATGTACACCACCTTGAGATCGTTGGAAGATAAAGGTAGTAAATAATAATAATAATAATAATAATAATAATAATAATAATAATAATGGCAGCAGCAGCCTGCTGCATCTGGCCAATGGCCTATCTAGTCCGGCATCCTGCTCTGACAGTAGCTGACCAGATGCATCATGGGAAACTCGCTAGCAGGGCCTAGCAATTCTCCCCTCCTGTGATTCCTAGCAACAGTCATTCAGAAGCAATGACAGTGGCAGGAGAACACAGACGTCCTGGGTATTAGCCATAGAGAGGCTTCACTTCCAATTTGTCCAATCCTCTTTTAAAGCCACCCAAATCGGTGGCTGTCTCACTGCCTCCAGTGGGAGGGAGTTCCATAGGCTTTTAAAAAAATGTTTTTATTAACAATTTCAACATAACAGCATATCAACACATATCATATTCATTATTTTCTCCCCTTTTCCCCCTCCCCCCCTCAAACCCTCCCCTCCCCCAGAGACTTCCCTCAGCTCCTCTCTCTGATTTCTCACCACATATTATTCTCCGCATGTTATAAAATTATACAAATAACCTTACATTATCTGTCTACCATGTTATCAATCAATAAAGTTGTGAATGTTTATTCAAGGGACGCGGGTGGCGCTGTGGGTAAAAGCCTCAGCGCCTAGGGCTTGCCGATCGAAAGGTCGGCGGTTCGAATCCCCGCGGCGGGGTGCGCTCCCGCTGCTCGGTCCCAGCGCCTGCCAACCTAGCAGTTCGAAAGCACCCCCGGGTGCAAGTAGATAAATAGGGACCGCTTACTGGCGGGAAGGTAAACGGCGTTTCCGTGTGCTGCGCTGGCTCGCCAGATGCAGCTTGTCACGCTGGCCACGTGACCCGGAAGTGTCTCCGGACAGCGCTGGCCCCTGGCCTCTTAAGTGAGATGGGCGCACAACCCTAGAGTCTGGCAAGACTGGCCCGTACGGGCAGGGGTACCTTTACCTTTACCTTTTATGTTTATTCAAAACCTGCCAAGGAGTCCAACTCGTTTTGTTGTTTTTTTAAAGTAATTTGTAAAGTGTTCCCATTCTTCTTTAAAGTCACAGTTGTCCTTATCTCGCAGTTTGTATGTCAATTTAGCCATAGTTTAACTACGCATTGCGTGAAGGAGCACTTTGTTCAATCTGCCCTGGATCTTCCAGCGCTCAGCTTCATTAGAGGTCCACGCAGAGCAGATTTGGCCCCCGGGGAAAATAGATCAGGGAGCCTGTGGTCCTCGTGAACTTTCTGGGCTCTCCCAACTCCTATCAGCTCCACCCAGTATGCCCGATAGCCAAGGATGATGGGCGATCTGGTCCACCAGATGCAGCCAGCATGGCCGGGGGCTGCTGGAAGTTGGAGTCCATCCCATTTGGAGGGCCGCAGGCTCCCCACCCCTTCTTTCCACCTCTGCATGTGAATTTGGTCTGTGATCCCTGATTGGTTGGGACGTGTGTCTACGAGAGGGATGGGGAAAACCTGGGGCCGTTGGCTGTTGCCCGACCACAACACCCATCATCCCTGGCCATAGGCCAAGATAACGAGGGCTGATGGGAGTTGTAGTCCGCCAACACCTGGAAGTGAGAGCTGGACCATAAAGAAGGCTGATTGCCGAAGAATGGATGCTTTTGAATTATGGTGCTGGAGGAGACTCTTGAGAGTCCCATGGACTGCAAGAAGATCAAACCTCTCCATTCTGAAGGAAATCAGCCCTGAGTGCTCACTGGAAGGACAGATCCTGAAGCTGAGGCTCCAATACTTTGGCCACCTCATGAGAAGACTCCCTGGAAAAGACCCTGATGTTGGGGAAGATGGAGGGCACAAGGAGAAGGGGACGACAGAGGACGAGATGGTTGGACAGTGTTCTCGAAGCTACCAGCATGAGTCTGACCAAACTGCGGGAGGCAGTGGAAGGCAGGAGTGCCTGGCGTGCTCTGGTCCAGGGGGTCACCAAGAGTCGGACACGACTAAACAACAACAACAACACCTGGAGGGTCAAAGGCCCCAAAACACCGCCTGATTTGCCTCCCGCGTTCCTCACCAGGTACAGCGAGCCGGCTGAGATGATGCGGGTTGCAACAGTGGACGCTGCCCTCTCCGCCGGTGCTCTTGCAGAAGCTGAGGCGCTTGAGTTCGTGCGGGTGGCGCAGGTCGGGCCAGCGGAAGAGCCGGCACAGGAGGAGCGAGGCGGGGAGGCCCGGCTTGGAGCCTCGCGACTCCACCCAGACGCAGCCCGACTCGCCCGCCCCCCTGCTCTCCACCGCCCACAGCAGCAGCTCCAGCTCCTTCTCCTTCAGCTTCTTGAAGAGGGCCAGAGCCGCCGGCTTCAACGCCCCGTGGCTGTCGTCGGGGCCGGGCGTGACGCAGCGGTGCCTCCAGAGCCGTTGTGCCAAGCTGGCTCGCCGAGACCGGAACATGAGGCTTTATAGAGACAGAACGACAAAACCAACATTATTATTTTTTTGTGCGCGCGTTCACAGCATCTCCTCCATTGCATCCCTGTAAAGTAGCCTGTTGGAAGTGCAAGGATCATTCGGTTTGTAATTTAAGGGTTAATTCTGTGAGTGTGGCAGTCAGCTGACCAAGAGGTGGTGGAGGTGTTGCTTAGCAACCAGACAGAGCACCATGATCTTTGCTGAGGGTTTTATTTTTGCGGGGACGGGGGGGGGGAACCAGACAGAGGGCATCCTCGGTAGTGGCGCCCACCCTGTGAACACGCTCCCAGGCAGATGTCAAACAGATAAATACAGTGGTACCTTGGGTTATATACGCTTCAGGTTACATACGCTTCAGGTTACAGACTCCGCTAACCCAAAAATAGTACCTCAGGTTAAGCACTTTGCTTCAGGATGAGAACAGAAATTGCGCAGCAGCAGCAGGAGGCCCCATTAGCTAAAGTGGTGCTTCAGGTTAAGAACAGTTTCAGGTTAAGAACAGACCTCTGGAACGAATTAAGTACTTAACCCGAGGTACCACTGTAATTGCATAACCTTCTGAAAACATCTGAAGGCAATGCTATATAGAGAAGCTTTTACTGTATGATGGTCTGTTGTTTTTCCATATACCAGACTTCCTCAACCTCAGCCCTCCAGATGTTTTCGGCCTACAATTCCCATGATCCCTAGCTAGCAGGACCAGTGGTCAGGGATGATGGGAATTGTAGTCTCAAAACATCTGGAGGGATGAGGTTGAGGAAGCCTGCTGTATACAGTAGTACCTTGGTTCTCAAACACCTTGGTACTCAAATGCCTTGGTTCCCAAACACCGAAAACCCGGAATTAAGTGCTTTGGTTTTCTAACGTTTTTCGGAAGCCAAACACCTGGTGCAGTTGGCAGCTATTGTTTCTGGGGTGCCTGCACCAATCAGAAGCTGTGTCTTGGTTTCCGAACGTTTCAGAAGTCAAAACGGACTTCTGGAACGGATTACGTTTGGCGCTTTTGTTTTTGCTATTTATTTTGTGTTTTTGTTTTTGAGGCTTTTTCGGTCAATTTGTTTTTGTGACTGTGTGGAACCCAGTTCAGCTACTGATTGATTGACTGTGTGACTGTGGAAATAGGTAAAAGCCCCCCATCCAAACAATGACTATCACCTACAATACTGTCTTATTTATTTTATAGTACAGTACATTGATTATTGCTTTCATTTTATGGTTTTGGAACGCTTTGGTTTTGGAACGGACTTCCAGAACGGATTTAGTTTGAGAACCAAGGTACCACTGAATAGGGAAGCTTTTAATGTTTGATGGTCTGTTGTGTTTCTGCATATTCTGTTGCAAGCCGCCCAGAGTGGCTGGGGCAACCTGGTCAGATGGGTGGCATATAAATATTATTATTATTATTATTATTATTATTATTATTATTATTATTATTATTATTATTATTCAGTGGCAGAGCAGAAGGTCCCAGGTTCAGTTAGAACTGGGAAAGACTCTGCTGCCCAAAAGAGCTGCTGCCAGCCCGTGTAACCAGTACTGAGCTACATGGGCCAATGGTCTGACTCAGTAGAAGGCAGAAATTCCTAACTATTCACAAACAGGTGAAAAGTCTGCCCCTTGAGAGGTGAAGAGATCTCCTTCTCTAGAGCAGTGCTTCCCAACCTTGGGCCTCCAGCTGTTTTTGGACTACAACTTCCATCATCCCTAGCTAGCAAGCTATTATGTTCCAATGTAGAAAGGTCCTTTTTGTTGACTGGCAATCTCTCCTAGGCTGGTGAGTCTAGTTAATGACCCAGATTAGCAACTGGGAATCCAGAAATTGGAAGTGGTGGTTATTCCTAGAGACTTAACGCAGGGTGTGATCTTGCCTGTGTGGCATCAGAATTTTGTGGGGTCTTTGACAGTTGTGTGTATGTGTGGATCCGACGTTCTCTTCTCCCTTATCACAACATCTTAATACTTTTTAAAACATCATTGAAATATGGATAGCTCAGTGGTAGTGCATATACTTTGCATGGAGAAGGTATTGGGTTCAGTTCTTTGGCGTCTCCACTGCTACCAGTTTTTTCCAAACTTGGGTCCCCAGCTGTTTTTGGACTACAACTCCCATCATCCCTAGCTAGCAAGACCAGTGGTCAGGGATGATGGGAATTGTAGTTCAAAAACAGCTGGAGGCCCAAGGTTGCGAAACACTGCTCTAGAGGCTGGAAAGTCATCTATCAGAGGAGCCACAATGGTATCAAACAGTGAAGTGGGCTAGATTATTTCTGAGACCTCCTCTGACTCTCAAATGCTCAAATGCTTCCTCACATCTGTTGGAGACAGCTAGGCAGCCCAGCTGAAAATCTCAGAGCCTGCTCTGCTGATTCCCTACAAACAGCAGCTAGCCAGCGGCACAACAGCACAAAGCAACTGGCATCCATTGTGCATTACAGCCACATTCTAACCCACACGGACTTGTGCAAACAGAAGCACACAAATGGAATGTATGTAACAACCGTGGCAAGAATTCTTTAAGCCCCCAAATGGAAAGGAAACCCTAGTCCAACGAAAGAAGAACGGCAGGTAAAGATGATGGACTTTGCAGAACTGGAGAAGCCGACAGGAGAAATCTGAAACCATCACGATCAAGTATTCCAAAAGGACTGGAGTAAATTTATACAATATTTCAAAGATTATTGTGAGCAATTAACATCGCTCGCAGGGCTGTCTGATGACTTGCAATGAGAATTTTTTTATCTTTCTATATTTATTTAAATTTAGAGACGTTCTGTCATAAGTCTAATTGGAATTGGAAAACGTATACAGTAAATTGCAATGATATAAAGGTTAAGGAAAAACCATCTTCCGCAGAAACTGCTGCTTGCCTTCTATCACTGTGCCATTGAGAGCGTGCTCACTTATGGCTTATGTGTGTGGTACGGAAGCTGTACTACCCAGGACAGGATGGGGTCGTGCAGAGTTGTTAAGGCAGCAGAGAGCATTGTTGGCTGCCCACTCTCCACCTTAGAGCAGATTTATGCCACAAGGTGCCATAGGAAGGCACTGGACATAGTAAAAGATCCATCGCATCCTGGTCACTGTCTCTTCGAGCTCCTGCCGTCGGGATGGAGATACAGGACGATGAAGACAAGAACGAGCCGTCTTAAGAACAGCTTCTTCTCCAGAGCGATCTCGGCCCTGAATGGGAAGCCTGGACTTTGAAAGTCATCTAATCTTCCTTGCTGTACTATACTGTATTGTTTTAATTAGTGTTTTTATGGAGCAGTCAAGTAATTTCGTTGTCCCCGAGAGGGGGCAATGACAATAAAGATATTATTATTATTATTATTATTATTATTATTATTATTAATTTCGAAAGCCATGAGGCAGGAGGGAAGGAAGTCATTGATAGGCTCTGAAGAGCCAGTGTGGTATTGTGGATAATGACAATGTGAATGTATAATGTTGAATGGAAAATAAATAAAAATTATATATTAAAAAATGGGGGGGGGGGACCAACCACACTGACCCAACCAGGGGCCACATTCACAACCTACATTTAAAGCACTGTGATAACACTGCTTTAAACAGCCACGGCTTCCCCCAAAGAATTCTGGGAACTGTAGTTCGTTAAGGGTGCTGAGAGTTGTTAGGAGACTCCTGTTTCCCTCACAGAGAACTATAGTTCCCAGAGGTTCCAATGAAGAAGAGGGATTGACTGTTAAACCGCTCTGGGAATTGTGGTTCTCAGAGGGGACTGCAGGGGATGGGGGTCTCCTAAAAACCCTCAGCACCTTCCACACGCTACAGCTCCCAGTATTATTTTAGGGAAGCCATGACTGTTAAGAGTGCTGAGAGAACCCTAGTTCCCAGCACCCACCAGCTACGATTTCCACAGCGGTTTAACTAACAATCCCTTTTCCCAGGGAATTCTGGGAATTGTAGCTCCGGGAGAGGAACAGGGGGTCTCCTATCAACTCTCAGCACCCTTAAGAAACTACAGCTCCCAGGATTCTTTGGGGGAAGAAGCCATGGCTGTTTATAGAGGCATCACAGAGCTTTAAATCTCTGGTCAGCGGGGGGGCTATTTCCCACACCAACCTCAGCCCTTGTCAGCACATTACCACCAGTGCCAGATTTACCTATAAGCTAAACAAGCTATAGCTTAGGGGGGCCCTCTCTTGGGGGGCCACCAAAAAATTAAAGGAAAAAACACCTGGAGGTACATTTCCAAAATATAAGATTAAAAACAAATAAAACAAAACCTACAATTATTATTTCATGTTACAGCAAGTTTCTAGAGACTAGATTATGAGCCTTTCAAAGGAACTTTCGTGATTGCCAAATGCCAATCAAAGTTCTTGCATTATTAAGTTTGTGATGCATACAAAAATAATTTTGTTAGAGCTTAATAATTATTTCACTATTAACATACTTCTTCTTAATGGTATTTCACTACTAATAGACTTCTTCTTAACTGTGTTTCAGTTCAACATTTGATAAAATACATATTTTGTTATGTGCCAATGGCTTTAGATACCTGTTAGGTCCATAAATTACCATGTAGCATATATTCAACACAAAAAAACCAGCGACAATTTGTTGTTGACAAAGGACAGCTGGACATATAAAGGGCCCCGTTACCTTCAGTAGATCAGGGCCTCATCAGACCTAAATCCGGCCCTGGTTAGCAAATTATCACCCGTGCGCCCCGCGCAAGCGACAGTGCACGCGCGGCGGGCATCTAACATGTTAATGCACCCGCCCCGGTACCCAGCAGCAGCAAGCAGGTTCCCTAACTGCCCGGCGAGTTAGAGACGCCTGTCCAAAAGCGAGATAGGGCGGATCACACTCACTGTGAAGGCAAAGAGCGGCTGGACACACCACTGGGTGCAGACCCCGCCAGGAGACCAGGACGGCTCAACCCACAGACTTCCTGGCAAGCTCTTTTCTTGCGGGATGTTCCCTCCCCATGCTTCCTCCGTCCAGCCTCTCTCTCTCTCTCTCTCTCTCTCTCTCTCCCTCTGCGTGGGAGGCAGCAAGCAGGGGGAGGAAACGGGGCGTCAGTGAGGGTGGGGTGGGGGGAGAGCTTGGGGGGGGGAACCTTGGTCTGGAGGGATCTCTGCCAGGGCAAGTCATGCCAATGGCAGCAGGCAGCTGCCAGGCTTGACCTGAAGGTTTTATCGGTGCCTGGGATGTCAGGGGGAAAATGGTTGTTGTTGTTTAGTCGTGTCCGACTCTTCGTGACCCCCTGGACCAGAGCACGCCAGGCACTCCTGTCTTCCACTGCCTCCCGCAGTTTGGTCAAACTCATGTTCGTAGCTTGGAGAACACTGTCCAACCATCTCGTCCTCTGTCCTCCCCTTCTTCTTGTGCCCTCCATCTTTCCCAACATCAGGGTCTTTTCCAGGGAGTCTTCTCTTCTCACGAGGTGGCCAAAGTCTTGGAGCCTCAGCTTCCGGATCTGTCCTTCCAGTGAGCCCTCAGGGCTGATTTCCTTAAGAATGGAGAGGTTTGATCTTCTTGCAGTCCCTGGGACTCTCAAGAGTCTCCTCCAGCACCATAATTCAAAAGCATCCATTCTTCGGCGATCAGCCTTCTTTATGGTCCAGCTCTCACTTCCACACATCACTACTGGGAAAACCATAGCTTTAACTATACGGACCTTTGTTGGCAAGGTGATGTCTCTGCTTTTTAAGATGCTGTCTAGGCCTGTCATTGCCCTTCTCCCAAGAAGCAGGCGTCTTTTTATTTTGTGACTGCCGTCACCATCTGCAGTGATCACGGAGCCCAAGAAAGGGACAAGAGGTTCTGGGTCTGAAACAAGGACTGGGTGGGAAAAAGGGGGGGTGGGGGGAGGATGGAAAAGGGACACAATTCCTGAGGCTTAAAGGTAGAGCTTAGCTGGTTGCAAGGCCTACCCTCAAAATCTGTTTCATTTTCCTGCCCAAGGGATTCTAAAAAGGGGTGGGGGGGGGAAGTTTCTGCCTACACATTATTATTATTATTATTATTATTCCTCGTAGTTCAGGTAACTTGGCAGGGCAGGCTGCAAAAAGGGCTCAAGCTATAGCTTGTATTACATCACCATGGTAGTTATATTATTTATATATTTCCCATATGACTGGGTTGCCCCAGCCACTCTGTGCGGCTTGCAACAAAATATTAAAAACACAATAAAAATATCAAACATTAAAAACATCCCTATACCGGGCTGCTTTCAGATGACCTAAAAGTCTTTTAGTTACAGTGGTACCTCAGGTTACATACGCTTCAGGTTACAGACTCCACTAACACAGAAATAGCACCTCGGGTTAAGAACTTTGCTTCAGGATGAGCACAGAAATTGTGCAGCGGCGGTGCAGCAGCAGCAGCAGCAGCGGGAGGCCCCATTAGCTAAAGTGGTGCTTCAGGTTAAGAACATTTTCAGGTTAAGAACAGATCTCCAGAACGAATTAAGTTCTTAACCCGAGGTACCATTGTATTTATCTGTTTGACATTTATCTGGACAATCCACAGAGAGGGCGCCACTACCGAGAAGGCCCTCTGCCTGGTTCCCTGTTAACTTCAATTCTTGCAGGGAGGGAACTGCCAGAAGGCCCTCAGCGCTGGACCTCAGTGTCTGGGCTGGACGATGGGGGTGGAGACGCTCCTTCAGGTATACTGGGCCGAGGCCGTTTAGAGCTTTAAAGCAGTGTTTCCCAACCTTTTTTGGGCAACGGCACACTTGTTTCATGACAAAAATCTCGAGGCACACCACCATGCCAGATGGGGAAAGGTCACTTTTTACTTATGTAAAAAAAATAAAACAATAGTGACAGCATAGAAGGTAATGGTTAGGCTGGCATCCCTCTTCCAAATATGCTAGGTTTTTATTTGCCGGGACTGTTCTACCTGGGAAAGCATTCAGCCCTGTCATTCTCCCATCTGCCACCTGAATTGGTACTATTCTGGGTCACCTTACTCTGCTGCATGTGTAGATGAAAATGGCACCAAGTGTGGCGGAGGGGGCAGAACAGGTTTCAGATACAGGATATGAAGCATACAGGTACTTCAGACTGAACTGGTTGCTTGCTTTGCAAGTTTCCATTTCCCAAATGACTGCCTTGGCAAGCGCAATACCTACCAGGCTCAAGGCCGGTCTCTCAAGGACCCGGGAGGAGGAAGGTGTGAAGGGAATCCCGAAGGCGCGAAAACCTCGCGCAGGCGCAGGCCTTCCGCCGGCGACAGCCCAGTAGGCCGGCCGAAGCGAGCGGCGATGGGATGTGGGAGGGAGCTCGCTCGCCGCCCCGCGTGTGCCTATGGGGGGCACGTTACAGCCCCGTGACGTCAGCGCCACGCAGGCAGCCAGGCAGGCAGGCGGCGAGAGCCCCGCGCTGGGCGGCCTCTCCTCGCCGCCGCCGCCCCGCCTCCCTCCAGGCAACATCTCGCGGCACACCAGGCAACGTCTCGCGGCACACTAGTGTGCCGCGGAACACCGGTTGGGAAACACTGCTTTAAAGGTCAGCACCAACACATTGAATTTTGCTCCGAAACGTACTGGGAGCCAATGTAGGTCTTTCAGGACTGGTTTTATATGGTCCCAGCAGCTGCCCCCAGTAATGGGGGGCAGCAGTGGAACACAGGCCGAGATTAAACCCCCATCGGCCTGGCACCTGCTATAAAAGCATAGTGGGGAAAGGAGAAATTAAAAAAAATCTGGCAATTGTTCAGCAGCGGAAAAAGGCTGCCCCTTTAAGGACGGAGGGCGTCCAAGTCTGATGGCTCAGAGCTGGCTATCTCTTACACTTCCTCCTTCAATTTTCCAGGGAGATAAGCGAGATTTGACTGGCGCCCGGGGCTGCCCCCATTCTCTTTGAGCAGGCAGCTCCAAAGATTTGGGGGATGGGTGGTGACAAACCCGTGAGTCGTCCCCCCCCCCCGCTGTCCTCAACCCCCCCCTCCACGGTCAAAGGGGTGCCCTTGTCACAATTAAAATGTATCTTGCATTTTTTAAAACATGGTTTTTAGCAAGTTGGCCACCCTAATAAAGCAGTAGCTCTCAGGCTAACTTGTGTATTTGGCTACCAAGTAAATTAGTATTCTTTGGAGCGCTTTATGCATTCGCAGAGGATGCCTTTATCGTTTTGCGTGTATCAAACCTCCTTATCCTTATCCTTTGAAAAGCTGTGTGTTTTAACGTTGTACACACACCATACAGTTTAATCACATCCCGTCACCCAAGAACCCTGGGAACTGTAGCTTACCCCTTCACAGAGTTAAAGCTCCCAGCACGCTACAGTTCCCAGAATTTGTTTTGCATTGTGCGTGCGCTTTAAATATGTGTTGTGTACAGCGGTACCTCTGGTTACGTACTTAATTCGTTCCGGAGGTCTGTTCTTAACCTGAAACTGTTCTTAGCCTGATGTACCACTTTAGCTAATGGCGCCTCCCGCTGCGCCGCCGGAGCACGATTTCTGTTCTCATCCTGAAGCAAAGTTCTTAACCTGAGGTAATATTTCTGGGTTAGCGGAGTCTGTAACCTGAAGCGTCTGTAATCCGAGGTACCACTGTACGCAGTTTTAGTCTGGGAGGGCCTTCTGCCCCAAGCACGTGGCGTTCCTCAGAGAATCCCGGGAACTGTAGTTTGCCAAGGGTGCTGGAGACTGTAGCTCTGTGAGGGTTAAAACTACAATTCAACAGAGCAGGAGGATGTGATTTGAACCTGCATTTAAACGCGTGGTGTTTATGGAATCCCACGTCTGCCGCAGGATTGCAGAAGAGTCAGGGAACGGCGCTTTGCAAGGCTGGCCCAGGCGGGCGCCGCCAAGTCATACCATCACAGAACAGGCGGTTGGCACCTGTTGGCACCACCGGACCCCGCGGAGGCAAAGAGATGTGGAGCCCCGGTTCCTACAGGGGAGTTCCCCGGAGAGGCCGGCTGCATTCTTCGCCAGATTTCAGGCCTGTCCAGGCTGTGACCTTTGCGGAGAGCTCCAGCGAGTCTGGGATTTTGCAGAGAGAGAGGATCTTATCAAGAGAAGCAGGAAACGGCCTGGAGCTGAGCTGGAGACAAGCCGGCAGGGCTAGCCGGTGTCAGGAATGGGGAAGTGGCGACCGAAAGGGGAAGAGGAGGAGGGGAGGAGAGAATAATGCAAGAATCCAGCAGCCAAGCTGAACGCTGGAGGGGTTGGGGCAGGGAAGCAGAGAATTGTAGGGTTGGGAGGAAGGGGCGCCGAGGGTCATCTAGTCCAACCCGCTGCAATGCAGGAATCTCAGCATCCATAACATTCTTCAGAAACTGGGTTTTGCCCCTCAAGCCCTTCTAAGTCTGGGCTTGGGCCAAGCAAAAGCAACAGTTAGGCCAGGGGTCTGCAACCTTTAAGACAAAAAGAGCCACTTGGACCCGTTTCCGAATAAAAGAAAAACTGGGAGCCGCAAAACTCGTCATTCTAAAAATAACTTTTTTGTCACTTTTTTATTATTTCTTAGTTTGACCCCTCAGAATTACTCTTCCTCATAGAAATAAACGTTAAATTAACAAGTTACCTTTTTGTGTGTGTGTGTTCTTCACTCCCCTTCAAAACAGTGACCAGCGTACATGCCCCCTTTCAATGCAGTGACCAGCGTACATGGCCCTTACAATGTAGAGGGCGGGCGGGAAGGTGACGTCGGGACGGTGCGTGACTATCGCACGCACAGCCCCCATGCGACGTCACAGCCAGTACAGCGCCCGCCACAGTGGGGAGTGTCGGGGCGCACAAATCACCTCCTCCTCTCGCTAGTATCCGCCCCAGAGCCGCGGCAAAGGTGTAAAAGAGCCACATGCGGCTCCGGAGCCGCGGGTTGCAGACCCCTGGGTTAGGCAAAGAATTATAGACACCGAGAGACAACAGGACTGCTTAAGGTGCCCGACTACAAAATTGTAGAAATCGATAGAGATATAACTGCACCAGCAGCATATCTCTCTTTTTTTCTTGTATCCAAAAATGCAAGAAGGGCTTTTACACTTGCTAGAAGCTCGGCTCTGCCCTCACCGGTCTTGGAAGTTTAAAAAGTCTTTTAAAAAGTCCCATATGACCAGAGAATTTGCGCCTGTCCATTGGGGGATATATGGGACGCGGGTGGCACTGTGGGTTAAACCACAGAGCCTAGGACTTGCCGATCAGAAGGTCGGCGGTTCGAATCCCCGCGACGGGGTGAGCTCCGGTTGCTCGGTCCCTGCTCCTGCCCACCTAGCAGTTCGAAAGCACGTCAAAGTGCAAGTAGATAAATAGGTACCGCTCCGGCGGGAAGGTAAACGGCATTTCCGTGCACTGCTCTGGTTCGCCAGAAGCGGCATAGTCATGCTGGCCACATGACCCGGAAGCTGTCTGCGGACAAACGCAGGCTCCCTCGGCCTATAGAGCGAGATGAGTGCGCAACCCCAGAGTCAGTCACGACTGGACCTAATGGTAATAGTCCCCTTTACCGCCCTATACCTGGGGGTCTCAGGGCAATTCGCAAATCTTCCCCAGCCCACTCATTAAGTGGTTGCCTTGTCCCTCCTTGGAAAAAAATGCACAGGGCTCATGGATAAAGTTGGAAGAGTGATGTTCTGTGCCACGCCCTCTTTGAGCGCCATGTGCTCTCCAAGACTCAGATTAAGTCTACTGGATCCACATTTCAACCAGATCACTTAGAAAAGCAAAAGTTTGAGAGCGCACACTTTTGTCTTTTGGGGAGGGCTGATCTGAGGAGGGAGAAGTGGCCAAAAAGGGTTGTGCCCACGGCAATATGCTCAGAAATCAAAATCTGCTCATGGCTCTATAATGCTTGGTGACCCCAGTCTTGCAATGTCACAAATCACCACCCTGCAGTAATTATTTAAACCACAGAGCCTAGGACCTGCCAATCAGAAGGTTGGCAGTTCGAATCCCCATGACAGGGGTGAGTTCCCATTGCTCGGTCCCTGCTCCTGCCAACCTAGCAGTTCAAAAGCACGTCAAAGTGCAAGTAGATAAATAGGTACCGCTCCAGCGGGAAGGTAAACGGCGTTTCCGTGCGCTGCTCTGGTTCGCCAGAAGCGGCTTAGTCATGCTGGCCACATGAGCCGGAAGCTGTAAGCCGGCTCCCTTGGCCAATAAAGCGAGATGAGCGCCGCAACCCCAGAGTCGGCCACGACTGGACCTAATGGTCAGGGGTCCCTTTATCTTTATATCTCATTGTTTTATTAACATTAACTTGGCAGATCAGACCAATAATTAATCCATCTATCCTAATATCCTGTTTCCAGCTGTGGCCAGGCAGATGCTGTTGGGAAGCTTACACAGGTTACGTAATAATAATATAATAATAATAATAATAATAATAATAATAATAATAATTCCCCCCAACCACTCTGGGCGGCTTCCAACAAAATATTAAAAATACAATGAAACATCCAACATTAAAAACTTTCCTAAACAGGGCTGCCTTCAGATGTCTTCTAAAAGTCAGTTGTTTATTTCCTTGACATCTGATGGGAGGGCGTTCCACAGGGCGGGTGCCACTACCAAGAAGGCCCTCTGCCTGGTCCCTTGTAACTTTGCTTCTCACAGTGAGGGAACCGCCAGAAGGCGCTCACGTTGGACCTTAGTGTTATGAAGATGATGGGTATTAACTGTTGTTTGTCCTTACCACCTGCTATTCAGAGATAGACTGCTTCCCAACATGTCAGTTCCATTTTGATCTCATGGTTTATCATCATCGATAGGCTTATCCTCCTCTGCTAACGTACCTAACGCTTCTTTAAAAGCCCTCTGAGGTAGTTTCGATCATTGCCACTTCTTGTGGCAGGTAGTTCTGCAGGTTCGTTGTGTGAAGAAGTGCTGATGAAAATATAGCCAGTGTTCAAAGACAATTTATTAGCTTTTCAGGCTACATGAGCATTTATTAGAGACAGAGGAAGGGCTGAACCAGGAAGCTGGAGGGGTTGGTCGGCACTGTTTCCAAGGAATGGGTAAGGAGGCGCATTCGAATTGCACCTTTCCCCTCTTGGGTGCTCTGGGAACTCGCTTGGGGAACATGGGAGAAGTCAGTCTGGCGAATCCCAGGGCACGCCAACTCCATTATGATTGCAAGAAGCCAAGTTTGCAAACTGTGTAACCCCAGGAACCCATTGGTACAGAGAGGCAATATTGTGTATCTGGATCAGAAACAACACAACCCTCTCTAAAAATCAGATTCATTCTATAATCACCGCTAACACAGACCACTTCAAAATGCCACTGTGCATGATGGTTTTATTGCAGGGGGAGGGGTCACATGAATCTCCCCTGTCCAATAAAAATCAAAACAAAACCCCCTGCATGAAGAAAGCCAGCACCTCAGGGGCAAGAGGTCTGCTCACCCCTTTGCCTTGGCACAATATGTTTCTACATGCAGGGATTTTTGCTTTAATATGGTTCATGTGTGTGTGAGAAGCACTAAAAGAGGCTGAAGTCATCGTGAGAACATGCAAGGTAGAATAAGGCTCCCCTGGCTCTTCTCAGCTGCCTCTCCTCCAATCCTCACCATGCAAAACCACCAGCAGCAGTGGCTGAAATTCCCTCTGCCCCAGGAGCCCTGTTTTCCTAGGCATACTGATAGAGGACATCTCCAGAAGTTGTCAGACTCCAACTTCCAGCATGGCTCATGGAAGATGGGAGTTGTAGTCCAGTCACTTTCCCACCCTGTCCTAGACACATGTCCCAACCAATCAGGGAACACATCTCAAATGCGCTTACTGGCACTGTGCTGGAAAGGAGGGGGAACTGGCTTTTTCCAGCTGGTGTTGGACTCCATCTCCCATCAGCCCCAACCCAGCACAGCCTATGGTTCAGGAAAGCTGGGAATTGTAGTCCAGCCACATCTGGAGGGCTATAGGTTTTCTATCTGTGGCTTAAGGTCTTCCTAAGCTGCAGTGGTGGAATTCCAGGACAATGTACGTTGTTTTCCCCCCTTGAATGAGCCAGCCGGATACAGGCTGGGAGTCTGTATATCTTTGTTTGGAGTCTTCTATTTCTGTTGAGTCGTCCCCAGCCCGGCAGCTGACGGAAATCCAGCGCAGACACCGGCTTTTTTTGTCTCTCTCCTTTTCCCAGAGCCAAGCCGTCGTTTATCCTCATCGCTCTCGGAGAACTGGGTTATATCGGTGGTTGGGTGTTGCTGGTTTATTTCATTTTGGTCCTGTTTACATCTCAGGAGCCTGAAACGAAATAGAAGTTCAGTCGGGGGGGACGGGGGACGGGACTATCCTGTCCTAAACTCCTGTTCCTCTGATCAGACAGTTCCTGGTGAGAATCTAGTGAGCAAAACCAGGCAGGGTTCACTGGTTGCCTATACTCTAGCCCAGGCATAGGCAAACTCCGGCCCTCCATATGTTTGGGACTACAATTCCCATCATCCCTAGCTAACAGGACCAGTGGTCAGGGATAGTGGGAATTGTAGTCCCAAACATCTGGACGACCGGAGTTTGCCTATGCCTGCTGTAGCCTGTCATTGGTTAACCTACTTGGTTTATTATTTATTTGGGAAGCTGGCTTCTCCAGCAAAATCTTTCCTAGTCTCAAACTCCTGCCCTTCTCACTCATATGTGTGTGTTTTATTGCTGTGCACACCCCTTTTCCTGGAGCAGACAGAAGTTTAGGGGGCAGCACTACTAAGCTTATTTTCTTTGGAAGACAGTCAGGGTGCCTTAAAGTGTCCCTGTGGCATTTGCTCTATTTACAAATATACAAGCAGAACACAGCCAGCATAGCTCAGTCGTAGAGCGTGAGACTCTTAATCCCACAGTTCTGGGTTCGAGCCCCATGTTGGGCAAATGATTCCTGCATTGCGGGGGGTTGGACTAGATGACCCTTGTGGTCCATTCCAACTCTACAACTCTATGATCTATATCAGGGGTCAGCAAACTTTTTTTGTCCACTGTCCCTCAGACCTTGTGGGGGGCCAGACTATTTTTTTTGGGGGGGGGGATGAACAAATTCCTATGCCCCACAAATAATCCAGAGATGCATTTTAAATAAAATCACACATTCTACTCATGTAAAAACACTAGGCAGGCCCCACAAATAACCCAAAGTTGCATTTTAAATAAAAGGACATATTCTACTCATGTAAAAACATGCTGATTCCCGGACCGTCCGTGGGCCAGATTTAGAAGGTGATTGGGCCGTATCCGGTCCCCAGGCCTTAGTTTGCCTACCCATGATCTGTATCATCATCATTCGATGCTGGTGACCCCAGTTTTACAAGGGTTTGAGTGCTAAGGTAAAGGTAAAGGTACCCCTGCCCGTATGGGCCAGTCTTGACAGACTCTGGGGTTGTGCGCCCATCTCACTCTATAGGCCGGGAGCCAGTGCTGTCCGCAGACACTTCCGGGTCACGTGGCCAGCGTGACAAGCTGCATCTGGCGAGCCAGCGCAGCACACGGAAACGCCGTTTACCTTCCCGCTATAAAGCGGTCCCTATTTATCTACTTGCACCCGGGGGTGCTTTCGAACTGCTAGGTTGGCAGGCGCTGGGACCGAGCAACGGGAGCGCACCCCGCCGCGGGGATTCGAACCGCCGACCTTTCGATCGGCAAGCCCTAGGCGCTGAGGCTTTTACCCACAGCGCCACCAGGGTTCAAATCCCCACTCAACCATGATGCTGACTGAGTGACCTTGGGCCAGCCACTGCCTCTCAGCCTAGCCTAGCTCACAGGGTTCTTGTGGGGATTAAATGAGGAGGAGAACTATCAACGGACTTAGAGCTCCTTACAGGAAAAGGAGGGATATAAATGTAGGAAATTATTATTATCAGTAGTAGTAAAACTATAAAGGACCCCTGACAGTTAAGTCCAGTCGTGGACGACTCTGGGGTTGTGGTGCTCATCTCGTTTTACAGGCCGAGGGAGCCGGCGTTTGTCCATAGTGTTTCAGGGTCTTGTGGCCAGCATGACTAAGCCGCTTCTGGCGAACCAGAGCAGCGCACAGAAATGGCATTTACCTTCCCGCCGGAGCGGTACCTATTTATCTACTTGCACTTTTTGGTGTGCTTTTGAACTGCTAGGTGGGCAGGAGCAGGGACCGAGCAACGGGAGCTCACCCCGTCGCGGGGATTCGAACCGCTGACCTTCTGATCGGAAAGCCCCAGAGGCTCAGTAGGACCACAGCGCCACCCGCGTCCCAGATCAGTAGTAGTATTAAATCATAATTGTCTGTTTTTAAATAGTAGTAATAGTGTTTTGATTTCCTACTCACCATTTACCTTAAGGTCCCAGGGCCTGTTACAGCCATTTAAAAAAACCACATTTAAAAGATGCTGTTGGATCACAACTCCCATCATTCAGAGCTGGCAGGGAATGATGGGAGTTGTAGTCAGGCTGAAGAAGAGCAAAGTGGTTGGTAACTGGAAGGACCTCTGCCTGAGATGCTGGAGAGCTGCTGCCAGTCAGAGTGGACATCACTGGTGAGATGGATGCATAGTCAGACCTGGCAGAGAGCAGCTTTTTATATTACGCAAAAGCAGCCTTGTTAAACTAGATCTCCCACCCAAATGTGCATTACAGCATGGCAAAGTATTATCCACTTCTGCGGTCCCAGGCAGGCAGCAAAAAAGCCCAGCACGCTTATGATCACTCCATTCCCTAAACTGGTTCCCTCCGGATCTTTTGGACTACAATTCCCAGCATGGCAAATGACAATGGATGATGGGAGTTGTAGTCCAGGTTGGTCAAAGCGGCATTAGGCAATTGAGAAGCGTAAAAAACAAACAAACTTACATGGTATGGTGGCTTACAACGTAGCAGCCAGGAGGAATCTTCAAGATCTGGAGAACCTGGGGTAAAAGCTCGCCCGGAAGGGTAAGGTGGCGCAGGAGCCTGGCATCTCAGCATGGCGCAGCCCACAAGGCCAGGCACCCATGGGAGACGGACACCCTTCAGTCCAGAATCTCCTTCAGGCACCAGCAGCAGAGGAGGACGTACAGACATTCGCGGAGAGCTTGCAGGGCCCAGTAACCCAGACTGACCACATTCCCGCTTTTGTAGTATGGCAGGGCAAGCGGTCGTGCGGCCCTTGGGCGGCCAAAGTAGGGGCCCGTGAGGGCCGCTAAGACCCACGGACGTGGGGCTGCAAACCTCTGCAAAGGAAGATGCATGTTCAACTCTGGGGAGGCTAGCTCAGAGCTGGCTTTTAGCAGGTGTGTGATGCCGACGCTGTCCTTTTGTGCAAATCGCTGGAAACTTCTCAGTTATCCGAGAGGTCACAAGGCCACTTTGAGTGCTGCCGAGGCCTGGCCCTCGCTAGCTAGCCTAATGCCAGAACAGTCCCCTCTCTTGTCACATGTGGAGAGAAACCCCCCACCCAGAAACCCTTTCCAAACCACAAGGGCATCTCAGTGTCACAGAATCCTACATTCTAGGCTGGAAAGCCCCATCACCGATTCTTTCAAATAGGGTTGTTTTTGCGGGTTTATTATGACAAGGCGCAATCTGTGCTTGTTAAAAAAGCGGCCTGAAATTCAAGAGGTGACCTACGCTTCCTTCCCATCATGAGAAAACCACTGGTTTGAGGTCTGTGGTCTTCCTCGTGCGCAGCGCAAGCTGTTAGCCACAATGCAGGTGTGATGCGGGGGATTGCACCACCAAAATGTTATTATTATTTTTTTAACATTATAGGCAGCTGAGGGGCTAGGCAGGGCAGTTTCGATCTAAGCAGGGGCAAAAAAGGCCACTTTTAACTGCTTTCACAACCTACATTGTTCCACCCTACTGAAATCGGTGCCAATCCCGACATGGGGGTGGGGGGCAGACCCCCTTATTGTGTTCATTCTCCCCACTCCCAAGGATATTAACAACAGTAGAGTCAACATCTGGCAGCCTTGAGCTGCTGAGGTCCCAACGCCTGAGGTTCCCCCCATAAATTCATTTTTAACCTTGACCCACCCTTTTAACTTCCCATAGTCCTTGACGTTCTGTCACATTGGGGCATTATGGGTAATTAAAAGGGCTGCCCTGAACTAGGGCTGGGCAGAGCGGTCAGTTTCAGTGCCAGCTCTCTGATTCTCGATTTTCCAGTATTCAGTCCTCCACATCAGTCTGCAAATCTGTTTTTAAAAGTCCTCATAAAAATAAATCTATGCTCTAGTGCAAATTTCTCCCAGTATACACATCTTCCTGTGCAAAAGTTTCCCCTGACAGAATGCATTTTGGTATGTTATTTTCACTAATATATGCATTGCTGTCAGAGCTGGCTCCTGGTCCCAGCTCACAGAGGACCAACGCTACCCGGTAGTAATATACAAAAGTCTTTATTGAAGTACAGTTTTCATTTCCAAACCGGAGCGCCCCAGCTCTACGTCTTAGAGGCTAGACCGGCGAAGCTCCATCTGAGTCTCCACCCCCTGTACACCAACTTAATACTTTAACCTTACTCCACCTCTTCCGTCTCTCCTTTCTCCTCTGGGTCCTTCTGCCCCCCGGGGTCTCCTCCTTTCTGGACTCTTCTGACGCTGACCCCCCTGACTCCTCCCCCTCTTTTCGGCGGGCTTTGGGACCTGGCTCCCTATCCGGGCTGCCCACTGCGCCGCCCTCCTGTACATTTGAACTTGGCGCGCGCGCCCAGCCTTCAACCTTCCTCTTGACCGTTTCCTCGCTCCCCGATGGAGGCGTGGCCAATCCTGACTCATGTCCTCCCACTGGCGGCGAGCCGCCTGATCCCGATACCTGGGACTCCTCCCCCCTACTGTGCTCTGGTGGGGAAGCTGGTCCTGATTTCCAACTGCTGCTCTCTGAGTCCCCTCTGGCCCCTTCTTCCTGGGGTGTCCCCCTCGGCACCCCCCTTGCTCTGACCATTCCGATTCGCTGGAAAGACTCAGAGACCTCGGACCGCTGTCATCGCTAACATTTCCTTCGGATTCCTCCCCCTCGCTCTCTATTTCCTCCCTTTCCTGTGCCTCTGCTCCTGAGCCCCTGACAATTGCTATCCACATTTTAGCCAAATATTTGTGTTGCTGTATGTAACGTATGTAAAGGACCCCTGGACGGTTAAGTCCAGTCAAAGGCGACTATGGGGTTGTGGCGCTCATCTCGCTTTCAGGCCGAGGGAACCGGCATTTGTCCACAGACAGCTTTCCAGGCCATGTGGCCAGCATGACTAAACCGCTTCTGGCGCACGGAGGACTGTGACGAGCGCCAGAGCGCATGGAAACGCTGTTTACCTTCCCGCCGCAGTGGTACCTATTTATCTACTCGCACTGGCATGCTTTTGAACTGCTCGGTTGGCAGGAGCTGGGACAGAGCAACGGGAACTCACTCCATCACGGGGAATCGAACCACCGACCTTCCGATCGGCAAGCCCAAGAAGCTCAGTGGTTTAGACCACAGCGCCACCTGCTCCCCTTTACCTTCCCTTCCCCTGCTCTTTCTATTGTTGGCCTGAGAACTGCAATGCAAAATTCAGAGAAGTGGGCATTTCAGTTCCCTTATTGTTTCAGGAGGTGTGACGAAGCCTTATGAGCTGAGTTGCATTTCTTCCCTGTCCCTAAGCGACACTCGGCTTGCTTGACAGAGGAGGGGGTGAATCAGAGGACCTTTTCCCCAGGGCACCCTCAAAACTGGACCCAGCTTTGTTGGATAGCTTCTAGAGTGAATTTTGATCAAATAGGTTTGAAAAACAGACTTGGGCCCCATTCGTGCCAGACATTAAAAGCAGCATCGTATCATTTTAAACAGATAGCATTCTGGGAGCTGTAGTTTGTAGCCCCTCACAGAGCTCCAGTTAAACCACTCTAGAAATTGTTAGCTCTGATTGAAGAATGGAGGATGAAGTTAATGGACTAAGCAGAATTAGATAAACTAACAGGAAGGATTCGAAACCGGCGAGACCAGAAATTCACGGAAGACTGGAGTAAATTGACGGACTATTTGAAAAGTAATTGTGAAGAACAGACAACATTTGTAGGGTTGCAAGAAGTTTTGTGAGGAGTATTATTAGAAGTATTGTAAAAATGGATAAGGGGGAGGATGATTTGTTAAGAGATGTAAAGGCAATATAAAGTTAAGAAATGCATAAGAAGTGGTTAAAACGGTGGATCATCAGAGGTGCTGATGGAAGTCTAAAAAGATTGTAGAAGTGATAAGTTTTGTGGTACATTTTATAATTTATATGTTAAAATTAATAAAAAATATAAAAAAGAAGAAATTGTTAGCTCTGGGAGGGGAATAGCGGGGTCTCCATGTAACTCTCAACAAACTACAACTCCCAGGATGCTTTGCGGGAAGCTGTATAGTATAGTATAGTATAGTATAGTATAGTATAGTACAGTGGTACCCCGCAAGACGAACGCCTCGGAAGACGAAAAACTCGCTAGACGAAGGAGTTTTTTGTTTTCTTAGCCGCTTCGCAAGACGCATTTCCCTATGGGCTTGCTTCGCAAAACGAAGCTTGCCCCGCAAGCTCCGGGGATAGCGGGGAAGCGCAGCGCGCCTTCCCCTCTGTCCCCGGACCCCTTTTGAACCAAGGGGCGGCAACGGGGAGAAGCGATCTTCTCCCCTCTGCCCCTTGCTTCAAAAGAGGGGACAGAGGGGAAGGCGCGCACGCCTTCCCCTCTGTCCCCGGACCCCTTTTGAACCAAGGGGCGGCAACGGGGAGAAGTGATTCTCCCCGCTGCCCCTTCCCTTGCTTTAAAACAGGCCCGGGGACAGAGGGGAAGGCGCGCGCCGCTTCCCCTCTGTCCCCGGATGGTCTCCATAGGAACGCATTGATTGATTTTCAATGCATTCCTATGGGAAACTGTGCTTCGCAAGACGAAAAACTTGCAAGAAGAAAAAACTTGCGGAACGAATTAATTTCGTCTTGCGAGGCACCACTGAATAGTATAGTATAGTATAGTATAGTATAGTATAGTATAGTATAGTATAGTATAGATGGGGCCTTTGGTTCCAGCACTTAGCACAGGGATGGTGGCCCCTTCAGATGTTGCGAGACTCCCAAGTCCTATCAGCTCCAGCCAGCATGGCCACAGCTGATGGGAGCTGTGGTTCAGCGACCTCAAGATGGCGCCAGGCTCCATACCCCTGATATGGCAAATTTGGGGGTGTGGGAAGGTCAAAGAAAGGATTCGAGTGCTACTCTTTGGCACCGTCGGACCCTGCAGAGCCCCTATCTCACTTCACCTTGCCCGCACCCCACTGTTAAAACACACAGCAGAACATAACCCAAAGAGGCAACTGAAGAACTAGTTTATTCCCAGGGTCTACTGTCCCCTCACATGATGGACGGAACGGTGCTTACAGCCAACTGTCACAAGGACAGGGCTGGCCGATCACATTGTCGGTGTGAGAGCAGCCCCTTGGTGGCCCAGCGGTAGTGGCAGCACCAACGCCATTTTGCCCCGGCCTGGCCCAAGCCTTAATCAAGCTAGGCTTTGGGCCTTGTCAGCTCTCCAGCGCTGGCCAGCGGTTGCCGGGGCAACGAGCATCAGGCCTAGCCAGGCTTCAGTGGCGGGAGTTGCGCTCGTCCTCTTCGTTTTCCAGCTCATAGGCCGGCCGGTAGCATTCCTGCCCTGCGGCGTTCGTATAGCGCAGGGCCGGATTCTTCTGTGTGTTACTCATGCTCCCAAGCGAAGTGTAGCTGTCAAGAGGGATCGGGGTGGGGGAGAGAGACAGGACGGATGTAAGCCACAGCAAGCAGGGGTACTTCATCTCCAATGTGCCTTAGAACATTTACCGTATTTTTTGCTCTATAAGACGCACTTTTCCCCTCCTAAAAAGTAAGGGGAAATGTGTGTGTGTCTTATGGAGCGAATGCAGGTGGGAGGCTCTGCTCAGCGCTCCCTTTAAAGAGCCGCGTGGAGCATGTGAGCGGCTCTTGGGGACCTTTCCTCCTCAGGGAAAAGCCCTCAAGAGTCGCACACACACTCCGCA